TTTTTAGATAGAGTCTCACTCTGTCACCCGGGCTGGAGAGCAGTGGCACGATCTCAGTGATCTCTGCCTCCCAGGTTCAAGTGATTCTCCTGCCTCAGCCTCCTGAGTAGCTATTATGACAGGTGCACGCCACCATGACCAGCTGATTTTTGTATTTTTAGTAGAGCTTGTCTGGAGCTTCCAGCAGGGAGGCATAGCTACTCGTATACCCTTGACCAAAAGCCAGCCCTCCTCTGTCGGGGATGCTTGTCCTCTTCGACTGGGCATGCGGCTTCAGGAGGGACACACGTGGAGTGGTGAGGGAGGAAGGGGACACTGGCCTAGCCAGCCAAATCAGCCGAATCAACCCTGGCAATCAATGGGGTGACAGGTGTCCCTGCCATATCGCTCTCACATCCAACTTTTGTAATTTTATGTTTATTTATTTAGAGATGGAGTCTCACTGTCATCCAGGCTGGAGTGCAACGGCACGGTCTCTGCTCACTGCAACCTCTACCTCCTGGGTATCAACCAGTTCTCCTGCCTCAGTCTCCTGAGTAGCTGGGAACACAGGCACGTGCCACCCCACCTGGCTAATTTTTGTATTTTTAGTAGAAACCGGGTTTTGCCATGTTGGCCAGGCTGGTCTTGAACTCCTGACCTTAAGTAATGCGCCCACCTTGGCCTCCCGAAGTGTTGGGATTACATGCGTGGGCCACCGTGCCCAACCTCTTTTATATTTTGAGACAGGGTCCAAGGCTCAAGCGATCCCCCTGCCACAGCCTCCCAAGTAGCTGGAACACCGGCGCATGCCACCACACCCAGCTAATGTTTCTATTTTTTTGTAGAGGCAAGGGTTTCACTAGGTTGACCAGGCTGGTCTCAAACTCTTGGCCTCAAGCAGTCCTCCCACCTCAGCCTCCCAAAGTGGTGAGATTCCAAGTATCGGGCACTGCCTGCGGCCCACCTCTGCTCCCCCCCCAGCCACCACATCTATCTCCCAAATCCCAAGAGGGAAGATCCCACTATGGGAGCTTAAGGACCTTTAAAATGCACCTGGAGATGACCTTTGCAATCCAGCCGGGCTGCCTCAGCCGGCAAAAAATTATCAGGGCATGGTAGGCAGCCTCCCGAGTAGCTAGGATTACAGGCACCTGCCACCATGCCGGAAAAGGAGCCGGGCCCCGAGCCAAGGCTCTGCCCTTCAGGACAGCTTGCAGCCTCCCTCTCTGTAGCCCCCACGGGCATGGGGGTCCCCAGTGTGCAGCACCCACAGGTACAGCAAAGGCTGATGCCAGGCCATGCCTGGCCTCGCACCAAAGACTCCAGCTCACTAGTGGGGAGCTGAGGGCAGAGTCCCCAGACAACCAGGTCTTTTCTGACCCCCATCCTGGGCTCGGGTACTCACAGATGGCGGCGGCAGCCAGGCATTTCACAACAATTTCAGGAGGCTTGCAGCCTGGGTAGAAGGGTGAGCACACATACTCGGAGAAGCTGAGGCAGATAATGGCGAAGGACGAGGGCTTCATGACGAAAAGGCTGGCCCAGGAGAAGAGGTAGGCGGGGATGGGCCCGTAGGCCTCCATCAGGTAGGGGTACTCACCCCCAGACTTGGTGATCATCGTGCCAAGCTCTGCATAGCACAGGGCACCTGGAACGCAGAGAGTAAGGGCCCACAGGCCGCTCGTGAGGCACTGCCCCTACCCCAGGGGCTGTGTTCCCCCGGGGGACTGCGTTCATATGGAGGGCCACCATGGTGTGCCCTTGCCAGACGGCCCTGAGCTCCAGCCGCTGGACATTCAGACCAGCCTGATTTACACCTGTTTGCCACACAAGCGCCGAGAGGGACCCCGGCAGGGTGAGGGCTGGCACAGATAGCGCCTGCCTAGTGTGCCCCACCAGGGAGCCACGTCTCTTTACCCAGCGTCGAGAGGACCCCGCAAGCCGCCCATATGATGAGGCAGGGCCCCACGGCTTCTGTGTTGCTGAGCACAGACTTAGGGGAGATGAAGATCCCGGAGCCGATGATGGTGCCCACGATGATGGAGATGCCACTGATGAGGCCCAGCTGGGTGTGGAGGAAGGGAGAGGGCGTTAGTGCCACGCCCAGGCCCAGCCCAGAAGTCCAGGCACCACCCCCCTCCGAAGGGCCAGGGCAGGCCCAGCCAAAGCTCATGCTCCAGGCGCTCCCAGCCTGGGCGGCTGCTGTGGCAACATCAGGACACCGCTCCCCGGGCTTCGCTCACATTAACTCGAATAATTCTCGTGACAGTCCCGGGAGCTGGCCATGCTGTACCACCCCCACAGTGCAGAGGAGGACACTGGGGCACAGAAACGTTAGGAGGCTGCTAGAACCGACTCATGTCCCGCCCCTACCCATGATCCTGTGTCCTCAATGGAAAGGCCGACTTGGCAACAGCTCGCCAATGAGAAAGGTCCTCAGGAAACGCCTCTGCTCTGGGCAAATGAGAAAGGAGTGTGCCACCAAAACAGAGGAAGTCAGGGCCTGGAATCCTGGCCAGAGGTGCCGTGCAGAGTGGGCAAAAAAGGCCTCCCAGAAACAGAAAAGTCATGGGGACTGTGAACTTTCTGTGGTGCCATTTTATCTTATTTTTGTTTGTTTATTTAGAGTCACGGTCTCCCTCTGTCGCCCAGGCTGGAGCCCAGCTGTGCAATCATAGTTCACGGCAGCCTCAAAGTGCTGGCCTCAAACAATCCAGCTCGGCCTCCCAAAGTGCTGGGACTGCAGGCGTGAGTCACTGCGCCTGGCCCTGTGCCACTTGCTAGGATGTGAGCTTTCTCAGAACAGAACCGAGCTCAGAAAGACATCAGGTGATTCCATTCCTGTGAAGTTCAAGAACAGGTGACTCTAATCAAAAGCCCTATGAATTCAGGGCTGGGTCCCTGCCTAGAGAGGGGCAGGAGGGGGCTTTCTGGGGTGGCACATCTATCAAAACCCATCAAACTCAGCACTAAAGAATCGCACATTTCAGCAAGGGGCGGTGGCTCACGCCTGTAATCCCAGCACTTTGGGAAGCTGAGGCAGGCGCTTTACCTGAGGTTCGGAGTTTGAGGCCAGCTTGGCCAACACGGTAAAACCCCATTTCTACTGAAAAATACAAAAATCAGCCAGACATGTTGGCGCACACCTGTAATCTCAGCTACTTAGGGGGCTGAGGCAGGAGAATCACTTGAACCTGGGAGGCGGAGGTTGCAGTGAGCCACTCACTACACCTGAGTGACAGAATGAGACTGTCTCAAACAGCACTGCACATTTTACTGTATATAAATTACACACCAATCAACAACGAGGAAAAAAAAAATCCGAACTGAGGCCCTACTCATAACACCTGCCTTCAGAAGCGGCCCCAGCCAGATCTCCAGAGCCTGAAGTTTCCAGCACCTGTGTTCACCTGGGAAGAGGCTGGGCTTGGAGTCAGATCGCAGGGGATGAGGGGCTCCCAGCTGCAGGCTGCCACCCTGGGGACGCTGCACACACAAGCAGGATCCCTGGGGCGCAGCATGAGCTTTCAGGGACAAGGTGCACTTCCAGGGCAGGGAGGGACGGTCTCAGCCCTCCTCCTCGTCTTAGCCCTGCCCAGGGCTTTGTTTTGGCTCCGGAACCCTCCCCTGCCTTCTGCTGAGGGACTGCCTGGGTTCTGATCTGGGTGATGTCTGCATTCACCCTGAAGTTGCCTGCCTGAGAGGTAGACCTAGCTCAGTTTTCTGTTTTTAGACTAAGGTCTCGCTCTGTCGCCCAGACTTAGAGTGCAGTGGCACGATCATGAGTCACTGCAGGCTAATCTCCTGGGATCAAGCAATCCTCCCACCTCAGGCTCCCTAAAGTGCTAAGGTTACAGGCGTGTGCAACCACACCTGGTCCCAGCTCAGAAGACACATCTGGGGATTTCTCAGTTGTGTTTAGGCTCTTGCTGGGATCTAGCCTAAGACTGGCAGAGAGGCAGGGGGCTGCAGCCCATCGTCTACCTCCTGGGGACCCCAGCCCCAGGCCAAGCCATTTAGGCCGTGCCAGCCCCCAGTCAAGCCCTAAAGCCTTGGTGCCGTCCCTCCTCCATCCCTTCTGCTGCCAGGCACAGGAGCTCTCAGAGGCCCCGCCCAGACCCCTGCTCTGGAAGCAGCTGTCCTGAGCTCACCCACGGCTGTCTTTCTCATCCTGGGAGCCTGAAGCCCTCCTGCGCCTCCATGCTGAGTACCTGCTGCTCCCAATTGCCTGGGCCTGGCGTGGTCCCTGTGTCCAGCCCCAAGGTTCCCTTTCCCTCCAGGCCCAGGGCCAGCCCCAGCTGCTCACTGCAGCCCCTCAGGGCGGCTGTCCCTGCTAGATGTCTGTAACACAGAACGGGCTCTGCTGGGGGCAATACTTCCCATCACTACAGCCACTGAGACATAAGAGGGACAGGTATTTAGAGGGGACCCAACCATCAGAACGCCCTCTCTGGCTGGGCAGAGTGACTCACACCTGTAATCCTAGCACTTTGGGAGCCCAAGGTAGGAGGGTCATTTGAGCCCGAGAGTTCCAGACCAGCCTGGAACCAGACCAGCAACATAGCAAGAGCCTACCTCCACAGAAAAAAATTTCTGAAAGTTAAACATTTGGCAGTGCCTCTGTAGTCCCAGCTACTCAGGAGGCTGGGGCAGGAGGATCGCTTAAACCCGGGAGGTGGAAGTTGTAGTGAGCTGAGATCGCACCACTGCACTCCAGCCTTGTTGACAGAGCAAGACTCCATCTCGGGGGGTGGGGAAAGAACATGCAGAGTTCCCTTGGAAGAGGGAAAGAGGTAAGTCCAGAGATTGTCCCCTCAAATTAAAGAGCACCTCTTCTGCCCTGTCATTAGAAATCAGCAGGGACTTCACTGCCTGTGCCCCCCCCACCCCCCACCCCCTGTTCAGATGCCCTTGCCTAACCTGCAAAGGGCCCGCCCCATCAGAGACCACCTCACCTCCTTTTGGAGACTGGTGGTCTTGGGCTCTTGGCTCTGGATCGACTTCTCATCCTCTCTCCGCTTTCTCAGGCCGGTCTCCCCCATGTTTCCTCCTGCTGGTTCCAGGAGACTGCAAGGAGGATGCACAGTTGAATCTTCGTTCAGCAGAAGTGCAAGTCTGGCCTGGACTGGGGAGCTGGCTCCAAAGCACAGTGTTGGTTATTGCTGCAGGTGGGTGCTGGCGCCAGCCCCACAGGGCTCATGCGCTGGGCCCCAGAGTCCAAGTCTGTCATTCACGTCGTCCAGGCAAGGGAGCACAGCTCCCTGCTACTCTCCAAAGCTCGGCTGCTCGCTTAGCTCTCTCCCAGACAGGCCCCGGGAGCCTCCTGGCCCATGTGCTTGTGCCTTGAAAGTCATTCTACCTCTGTGGTCCAGCTTTTTTTTTTCAAAAGTAAAAATGCATTTAACAACATCCTGGGCTGGGTGCCGTGGCTCACGCCTGTAATCCCAGCACTTTGGGAGGCTGAGGTAGACGGTTCACTTGAGCCCAGGAATTCAAGACCAGCCTGGCCAACATGGCGAAACCGTCAATACTAAAAATACAAAAAAAAAAAAAAATTAGCTGGGTGTGGTGGTGGGTGCCTGTAATCCCAGCTACTTGGGAGGCAGAATAACTGAGAATAAGGCAGGAGAATCGCTTGAACCAGGAGGCAGAGGCTGCAGTGAGCTGAGATTGTGCCACTGCACTCCAGCCTGGGTGACAGAGCGAGACTCCCTCACACAAAAAATTAAAAAATTAAAATATCCTGGAATGTATTTATCAGAATCAAGTCTAGGGAAGGAAAGTTTGTCTTATCATTCCTCCCCAAGATTAAAGGCACCCCGTACATCACAGATCCACAATACAGGTACTTTTTCTTTCTACTTTTAAAATGTTTACTGTTATTTTTTGTAAAGACGGGGTCTTGCTATGTTGCCCAGGCTGGCCTCCAACTCCCGGACTCAGGCAGTCTTCTCACCTTGGCCTCCCAAAGAGCTGGGATTACAGGCATGAACCCCCATGCCCGGCCGGTACTTTTTCATTGAGTGATGAAAGGAATGGAAAAATTGCTGAGGAAACCCAGTTTCAGACTGAATTAGGAGATATCCACGCACCACTGTACCCTCTCTCTCAATAAATTCTCTGTCCAGGCGCTGGCCAGGAGAGCCGTGAGCCTTCCTGTCACCCACCGACCTTACCTTCCTCCGTGACCCTGCAGAGCCGGAGGAGCCGCGGCCCAGCTGACCACCCGTGCCTGCACGGTCCAGCTCTAGGAATGGCCATGTCTTGTGCCCAGGAGTGGAGGAAGTCAAGAAGGTACAGAGGTCAATAAGGGTAATTATTAAACACCTTTTTTTTTTAAGCAATGAAGCGTAGATACGCGACATAAAAAGGGGAGGGTCAAGCAGATCAGTTTCTCTCCGAAACCATTTTGTTCATTTGTGTCTATGTCAGGTTATCTTAAAACCAGATGGTCCCAAATCATCTACCTGTTTTACACAGCGATAAAATAAATGATGCCTTCTTTTATCTTTGGGAATCAGATGAGATAAACTTTGGAACCAATTCTCTAATTGCCTTAATAGGCTGTATTTAAAACTCAAGTCAGGCAGCACCAACAGGAACTGCTGTGTGTGCATAAATCTGCTGTTGGTCAGTTTCCTCCCTGCCCAGGAATTTCTCCAGCCCTGGGCCTGCCACTGGCTGAGCAGGTGAGAGTGGCCGAGCCTTTCCCACTCACCTTTACCAGTGACAGGGCTTCACCACTTGGAACCACAAGCAGTCCTGAGGCCCCTGCGTCCTCCCTGCAGCTGTGGCCAAAAGCCAGTCAGGTCTGGCTGTGGTACTGTTCACGTAGCCATGTCATGGCTCATCAGACACAAGGGACACAACACCTTGCCCATCAGGGAAACGGGGGCCTACAGGGGAGACGGGAAACACAAGGCCAGGGAGCTCTGGTCCCCATCCAGGGCTGCCAGGGTCTGGATCTCTCCAGGAGGGAGCAGAAGTTCTCCCCACGCTGCTATCGGACCTAGGCTCAGGCGGCAGCCTCAGCGGTCAGTGCTAAGCCCTGTCAGATAGGGAAGGAAGCTCCTTATGAGACAGGCAGGAGAACAGCCTGGTACAGCCTAAACACTGCGTCTGAATCATCGTGGCTGTCATCTTCAGCCAAAACTCTGGTAGCTTTGCCTTTGGGCAAACTTAGCTGCATCCCACATGTTGGATGGAACCTAAGGCCAGGGATGGAAGAAACTGGGCCAGTCTGTGGGGGCCAGTTTGGGGCAAGCAGAGCAGAGAGAGAGACAAGTTTCTCTGAAGGCCATCTGTACAACACGGGGACCCTTGGTGTCCCAGAGGCAGGGTCCTGATTTAGAAATTTGTCACCTCCCATCTTGGGAGGGCGCAGCCTGTTCACCTGCCCGCCATGCCCGGAGCCCTGGGTAGACAGCCTGGAGAGTAGAAGCCAGGGGCTGACACCCCAGATAGAACCTGCCCAGGGGTTGCTGGGGTCATTCCTCCTAGCGCTGCGGCACTCATCATGGCACCTGGCACATCCATGTTTGCAGACCACGACAGAGACGCCCTGCACCAAGTGCCCCAGCAGATAGCCCTGCAACCTCACCCACTACCTGCAAGGGCTCGGCTGCTCTGCCAGGATCAGCGTCTGAATCTGCAAAGTGGGGCTAGCAATGGGCGCCCCCTCATGGAACACATTGAACTTGCACATTCTTTGGATGTCCAGGCCCTGGTCTTCCTGAGCCTTTGCCAATGGCTGGGTGTGAGGGTTTTTGGTTAAGTCAGAAACCTCCACTTGAGTTCATTTTGGGTCCACAGTGAGCGTTTCTGAAGGCTGTTTCTTAAAGCTGTGTTTTTCACCCCAGTCCCCACCTCTCCCTCTTTGAATACACAGGGAGTATTCGAGTAATTCTCATAAGCTTCTTCTCGGGGAAAATATGAGGATTTGATCTAAAAAGCAAAATCTTCTCCAGTTCTTGAAGACGGTTGGTTCATTGTCCATCCAGCGCTTCTGCCACGTGGCTGAAGTTTCACCTCCCTGCTGTCGGTTCTTTTTGTTTTTTGAGATGGAGTCTCACTCTGTCACCCAGGCCGGAGTACAGTGGTGCAATCTTGGCACACTGCAGCCTCTACCTCCTGTGTTTAAGCAATTCTCCCTGTCTCGGCCTCCCGAGTAGCTGGGATTACAGGCATACCCCACCACACCCAGCTAATTTTTATATTTTTAGTAGAGATGGGGTTTCACCATATTGGCCAGGTTGGTCTCAAACTCCTGACCTCAAGTGATCCACCCGCCTTGATCTCCCAAAATGCAAATCCTACTGTGATTTTTACCATTTTATTTATTTATTTCTTGAGACTGAGTCTCACTCTGTCACCCAGGCTGGCGTGCAGTGGCACAATCTCAGCTCGTTGCAACCTCCACCTCCCGGGTTCAAGTGATTCTCCTGCCTCAGCCTCCCGAGTAACTGGGATTACAGGTGTGTGACACCACACCCGGCCAATTTTTGTATTTTTAGTAGAGACGGGATTTCACCATGTTAACCAGGCTGGTCTTGAACTCCTGACCTCAAGTGTGATCCACCTGCCTCGGCCTCCCAAAGTGCTGGGATTATAGGCACGAGCCACCACGCCCAGCCTACCACTCTATTTCTTGACCTTCACTTTCAACCTGTGCTTTTCCCTTCTGATTGCAACAATGTTTGCAGTTTGAAGACATTCACAGCATCTGCATTTTATCTTATATTTGGTGCACATTTTGTTTCAGTTGGGGAGGGGAAAATGCTTCCCTCTACCCTCTGGATTCTTTGGTTGGGCTTCAAATTGAGACTAACGGGAGGGAAGCTTTTAATTATGTGTATATGCAACAGAGTCCCACGAAGCAAGAGACTTGAAGAAAGGCCAGAAGACTAAAGCCTATATAGCATCCTGAGCTATATAGAGATTAGGGGCTTGGGGTTTTCCGGGCTGTTGGAGACTAGTAATGGGATGGCAAGGGAAGGAAATGCATGGTGAATAAAGGTCATCCTGTTAGGCAAATATAAGTCTCTCAGGTAATAAATATTGTCTCTTCCTGGTAGATACTTGTACTCAATGTAAATTTCCTTCATGACATACATTTCTTTTGCAAAGGTCAGCTTTTCAGAGCTACACCTGTTGTGTCTGCAGTTTCTTAGAATAACCAGCTCAACATATTCCAAAGAAGTATATTTTGGGGTGACATATATGTGGTTTTCTACATATCGTATTTTGGCGGTTGTTATGTCCTGACCCAGCATTTCCTTCTTCTGTGATGGTTTGTGTTTAAGACAGGGTTGCTTGCTCCCAGGCTAGAGTGCAACGGCGTGATCATGGCTCACTGCAGCCTTGACCTCCTGGGCTCAAGGGATCCTCCCATTTCAGCCTCTCAAAGTGCTGAGATTACAGGCATGAACCATTGCACCTGGCCTCCTGTGATGGTTTTAAAGACGTCTTTAATCCCATAGTGTCAACCCATTTCTGCACAGCCTCTGGGATGCCCAGCTGGGCGCCGTGTTCTCTAATTCACTGTCCTCATGACAGAGGCAGGGTCTTGGGCAAACATTCAGGCAGAGGCTGTATCTTCTTTCACTACTGAAAGCTTGTTCCAGACCTGCCTTCAAGTTTTCAGACTTTCTCCTATTCATTAAGTTCACTCAGTCTTATATCCTTCCTACTGCTACTGACAGTAGTATTTGGGGATTTGGAGGGGGACCCAAAGACAGGTATAACTGGCACATGACCACAGATAGAAGTGGTGCTCCCTTACCTCCTGAATTCCAACCAGAAGAATTTGTGATGAATCAGCGGTGTACAAGGGCTTTCAATGTCAGGGACGTACTGCCTAACAATAAAACGATTAGCAAGGAAAGCATAAAAACTTCAAGCCTCTTATCTAGTAGCAATCTATATATATCCGACAACTATTGGAAAGTACAATTCTGCCTTCGAACTTTGTCCATCATTTTTACATGTTCCAAGTAATATGGTTTTACAGGAAATTACCTGCTTGCGGAAGCCAGCGCAGTCACAGCACGCCGTCAAAACACGACTTTTCCCATCCTGCTCCCTTCCCCACCGACTGTTCATGGTCACCGCCCCTTTTCTCAACCATGGTGGTCACACGTGATGAAAAAGCTGTTTGCTGCTGAGGTTGGGGAAAGAGGGTTCTGTGTCATCAAAGATCTTTAATAAAGAGGTATTATTTTGGAGGGCTGGGTACTGTGGCTCACACCGGTAAAATCAGCACTTCGGGAGGCTGAGACAGGGGGACTGCTTGAGGTCAGGAGTTTGAGACCAGCCTCGGCAACATAGCGAGCCCCTGTCTTTACAAGAAAAAATTTTTTAAATATTAGCCGGGCATGGTGGTGTACACCTAGAATCCCAGATACTCTCAGGAGGCTGAGGCAGGACGACTGCTTGAGTCCAGGAGTTCGAGGCTGCAGTGACCTACGATCATGCCACTGGGCTCGTCTGGGTGACAGGTCAAGGCTCTAACATAGGGAGGTGCCATTTTATGTAATCTTGTTTCTGTTTGCCCAGCATCCACAACTTGGGGGAACTGTCCCTTTATGGGGGACACTGGTGGGCTACCAACCAAAGGACCTCACTTCTCTGGCCACACAGGAGGACTCAGGACATTGGCTCAGCCAAGAGGCCACTGTCTCCCAGGATTTGCTATCTGAGTGAAGCACAGGGTAGGCTGACAGTGTTCGACTACTGAGAATCACCCTGGGCAACAGCTATTCTGGCTTCTGTCCTTCTCAAAACATGGTGTGAACCACCAAGTGTACATTTCCAAAATATTTCCTTCTTTCCCTTAACATTGGGCAGTATAATTTCTGTTGCTTGCAACCCAGCCCTGGTATGTTACATATACTACACACAAACCTCTCACTTTCAAAGAATTATTCTTAAATAAAATACTCAGGACCCTCCTGACCAGAGGAAACAGATGCTCCAGGCTCCTAATGACTCCAGGCAGCAATGCTCTCACCTCAGTGCACTCTTCCTCTCTCTCATCTATACCTTCTGTAGAGTGCTGACACACAGGTGGACTGGGGAACAAGGGGATGGGGGCCCAGAGCACCCAGCACAGATGCGGGGAGCCAGCCTGGGTCCTCAGCAGCAGGTGGCTTGCCCAGTTCCAGGAAGCGGCCTCAGGCACTCTGTAGTTTGAGGTCACCTTAGCCCAGCCTGGGTCCTCACTACCTCTGTTCTGTTGTTTGTAGACACTGGGCCTGCAAAGCAGCCCAGCAGGGTCCTGCAGGGGAATATCAACTATAAAAGCTGTACTTCTCCTTTCCCTCCAGCACCCTCCCACCCAGTCCACCCCTAGTCAAAAATGAGGAAAAGAGACGAGTCTGAGGCTAGGCGCGGTGGCTGTTGCCTGCAGTCCCAGAACTTTGGGAGGCCGAGGTGGGCGGATCACTTGAGGTCAGGAGTTCGAGGCCAGCTTGGCCAACATGGCGAAACCCCGTCTCTACTAAAAATAAAAAAATTAGCCAGGTGTGGTAGCACGTGCCTGTAATCCCAGCTATTCAGGAGGCTGAGGTGGGAGAATTGCTTGAACCTAGGAGGCAGAGGTTGTAGTGAGCTGAGATCACACCACTGCACTCCAGCCCGGGTAACAGAGCAAGACTCCATCTCAATTA